TCTATCTCCAGGTCTTTGCACATGTCATTATAATACTTTACTTTGTCTTCTCTTGCTGCCCTGTGAAATCGTCTGTTCAGCTCTTTCACTTCATCATTTCTTCCTTTTGCTTTTGCTACTCGATGTGCAAGAGTAAGTTTTGGAGTCTCTTCTTACGTTCATTTTGATCTTTTCTTTCTTTCCTGTCTTTTTAATGACCTCTTGCTTTCTTCATGTATGATGTCCTTGATGTCCTCCCACAACTGGTCTGGTCTTCAGTCATTAGCATTCAATGCATCAAATCTATTCTCTGAATTCAGGTGGGATACACTCAAGGACGTACTTTGGCTCTTGTGGACTTCTTCTAATTTTCTACAGTTTCAACTTGTACTTGCATATGAGTAATTGATGGTCTGTTCCATAGTCGGCCCCTGGCCTTGTTCTGACTGATGATATTGATCTTTTCCATCATCTCTTTCCACAGATGTAGTCCATTTGATTACTGTGTATTCTATCTAGAGAGGTCCACGTGTATAGTCACCATTTATGTTGTTGAAAAAAAGGTATTTGCAATGAAGAAGTTGTTGGTCTTGCAAAATTCTATCATGCAATCTCCAACATTGTTTCTATCACCAAGGACTGTTTTCCAAAAATAGATCCTTCTTCGTTTCCAACTTTCACATTTAATCATCAGTTATTACCAGTGTATCCTGATTGCATGTTCAATCAATTTCAGACTGCAGAAGTTGGTAAAAATCTTCAATTTTTTCATCTTTGGCCTTCATGTTTGGTGCATAAATTTGAATAGTAGTCGTGTTAACTGGTCTTCCTTGCAGGCATGTGGATATTATCCTATCACTGACGGTGTTGTACTTCAGGATAGATCTTGAAATGTTCTTTTTGACAATTAAAGCAACGCCATTCCTCTTCAATTTGTCATTCCCGGCACAGTAAACCTTATGATTGTCCAATTCAAAATGGCCAATACCAGTCCATTTCAGCTCAGTAATGCCTAGGATATCAATGTTTATGGGTTCCATTTCATTTTTGAAGATTTCCAATTTTCCTAGCTTCATATTTCATACATTCCACATTCTGATTATTAATGGATGTTTGCAGCTGTTTATTCTCATTTTGAGTGGTGCCACATCAGCAAATGAAGGTCTGGAAAGCTTGACTGCATCCACATCATTGAGGAGGCTGCTTTTCCCCAGTTGTATTTTGAGTGCCTTCCAGTCTGGGGGGTTCATCTTCCAGTACTATATCAGACAATGTTTTGCTGCTATTCATAAGGATTTCACTGGCTAAGTCTCTTCAGAAGTAGACCACCAGGTCCTTCTTCCTAGTCTGTCTTAGTCTGGATCCTCTGCTGAAACCTGTCCACCATGGTTAACCCTGCTTGTATTTGAATACTGGTGGCATAGCTTCCAGCATCACAGCAACATGCAATCCCCCACGGTAAGACAAACTGACGGAACACATGGGGGTAAAAAGTAATAGAGAAAATCAATTAAACGAAAGTTGGTCTTTGAAAAGATCAACAAAATTGACAAACCTTTACCTAGGCATAAAGGGAGAGAGACCTCAAAGTATTAACATCAGGAGTGAAAGAGGGGATAGCACCAGTAATCTTACAGAAATAAAGAGGGTTATAGGGAATACTATGAACAACACTATGCCAATGTATTAGATTATTGAGATAAAATGGACAAACCTAGAAAGGCACATTGAAACTGACTCAAGAGGAAATAGAAAATCTTAAGAGACCTATAGCAAGTAGCGAGATTAATTAGTAATTTTAAAACTTATCACAAAGAAAAGCTCTGGCCCAGGTGGCTTTACTGGCTCATTCTACCAAATATTTAAAGAAAAATTAATACCAATCCCTCATAAACTATCCCAAAAACTAAAAGTGGAAGGAATACCTCCTTACTCATGTTATGAGGTCAGTACTACTCTGGTATCAAACCAGACAAATATATCATGACAGAAGATTACAGAACAGTAATTCCTATGAATATAAACACAAAAATCCTGAACAAAATACTAGCAAACTGAAGTTAGCAACATATAAAAATATTATAGAATATGACCAAATGGAATTTATCCCAGGAATGCAAGGTTCATTTAAAATAAAAAATCAGTTAATGTAGTACTTCCTATCAGTAAAGGAAAAAACGTATGATGACCTCAACCAATGCAGAAAAAAGACATTTGATAAAATCCAACATAGCAAATTGTTACTAGTTGCTATTTCTGGGTGTTATTATGAATTTTATTTCGGTATTAAACTTTCCTATGTTTTCTACATTTTCTAAAATGATAGTGCATTACTCTTGTCAGAAGAAAATACGCATTTACTTTTCTTTAAAAAAAAAAAAACAGTCATTTAAGATTTGAAGGGCAATTCCATAGCCATCTGACACGCGTCCTCCAGGGTCTCCTGGAGCATGTGTCATGCCTCTGGGGACTGAATCCCTGAAGATCTCTCCACTCTTATGCTCTCTTCATATACCCCATCTCAACTGTGCCCAGAGCCCTTCCCATACCACAGTCTGCTGCTCAGAGAACTCACCCCCTTATTGCCTGTCTTTTGATGAGTCAGTCTCACTGAAATCTACCCTCATCTCCCACCTGTTGTTATTTTTAGGTGCTGTTGAGTCAATTTCCAGTCATAGTCCAGTCAAACATAGTGACCCACGTGACAGAGCACAACTGCCCCATAGGATTTTCTTGGCTTTAATCTTTATGGAAATAGATCACCAAGTCTTTTTCCGGTGGTGCCCCTGAGTGGGTTTGAACCCCTAACCTTTCAGTTAGCAGCCCATCACTTAATAGTTTGCTCCTTCATCTCGCACCTCTAGAGGTGGAATGGCAGTTCCCACCTCTCTGCCCTGAGTGGTGGTCCTGCCAGGCGGAGGGGGAAGCAGGTTTGCCACCAGGGAGAGCCTGCCTTTGGCCTGCTTGTTAGCCTGCCTCTTTGCCCATCCTCAAAGATGAATGTACAAAGCAGGTGACTTTACATTCCCATGGGCTCACACAACATGAATTCAGTTTTAATTTAGGTCAGCTCAGTAAACACTACTGAATGTGTACCACAGTCAGACCCAGTGCTGACGTGTTGATGGTGGTGTTGGTGATGGTATACCCATTTCCGTTGAGTCGATTCAGACTCAGTTACCCTATAGGACAGAGTAGAACCGCCGCATAGGGTATCCAAGGCTGTAATGTTTACAGAAGCAAACTGCCACATCTTTTGTCCACAGAGCCACTGGTGGGTTAGAACAGCCAACCTTTTGGTTAGCAGCTGAGCACTTAATCACTGCATCACCAGGGCTCTTTTGGTAATGGTATGTTGTTGTTAGATGCTGTTGACTCATAGCGACCCTCTAGGGCAGAGTAGAACTGCCCCATAGGGTTTCCAAGGAGCAGCTGGTGGATTTGAACTGCTGACCTTTGGTTAGCAGCTGAGCTCTTAACCACTATGCCACCAGGGCTCCTTGATGATGGTATTTAAAAAAAAAAAAAAATTACCGTCAAGTCGATTCTGACTCGTAGTGACCCGTCAAGTCGATTCTAAGTCATTCTGACTCATAGTGACTCACAGGACAGAGTAGATGGTATGAGGGATACAAAAGACTTGAGATAGGATCACAGCCATTGGGAAGCTTATGACCTTCAGGAAGCTTCCATCTATCTCATAAAAACCTCTGCCCATCATCGGTTAGAAAGCTGACCATTATCCCACAGAGTAGCCCATTCCCCAGCCACTGGACTCTAACTTTTGAAACATCTTTTCTGTAGAGTCTGCCTTTTCTTTTCTATGGCTTACAGCCATGGGGCCGCGCCAGTGAGCCATCTCCAAACAAGCTTGACTCCCTTCCCACCACACTCCCAATCTCCTAATGCCCGTGCTAGCTTCCTCAGCTCTCCACTTCCCCAACTGAGCTGACCTCCTCCAGACAACCCCTGGGGTCCAGAAACTGGGATTTCTTTTCCGGGCCTCCCTGCTCTGTGGCTGCTGTACACTGAATCTCACAGCATGAGCAAGGCTGGCGTCTGGTTCACCTCAGTACCACCTGCACTCACCCCCTCAGCATAACCCAGAGTGGACATTTTAAGCCTGTGAAAAAAGCAATGCTGCTGAAGTCTTCGTGCTTCAGATTCCACCTTCAGTGGCAGCTCGGGTGTGGCCTCCTCCTCCCGGAAGCCTTTCTGATTCCCCACTTGGGCCCCTCTTCTCCCTCTACACTCCCAGAGCACCCCACTTGAAGTTACCACAGCATGGGGAATTCTCCCACTCAGACACGCCTCCCTCTCGCAATGGGAACTTGCTGAAGGCAGGGACTCTGTCTAGTTTTCTAGGGGTCCCTGGTCCCAACTCCAGCCCCTCAGCAGGAGCCTGGCACTGCAGGAGGCTAAGGCAGGAAGTGGGTGTAAAGGGTGGGAGCAGTGAGCGAGAGACTGAAGGAAGGAAGCAAAGAAGGAAGGAAGGGTGGGAGAGAGGGAAATAGGGAGGAAAGGAAGGAAGGAAGGAAGGCGCGCAGGCAGGAAGGCAGGAAGGAAGGAAACTGAGGTTGCCCCAGGCACCTGACTGATAGAACAGACACCAAGCCAAGGAGGTGAGACAGGGGAATGGGTGTCCCCTGCCCTGATGGAAGGCAGGGCCTAGCTTGGCCAGGGAGCCCTGAAGATGCAGTGGTTAAGAGTTCCATGGCTAACCAAAAGGTCAGCAATTCGAATCCACCAGGTGCTCCTTGGAAACCCTACGGGGCAGTTCTACTCTGTCCTATAGGGTCACTGTAAGTCAGAATCGACTTGATGGCAACGGGTTTAGCTTGGCCAGAGCTCCCGAGGGGCGGGGGTAGGGGAGCTGTGGGTGGAGGGTCCGGCAGGCCGGGGGCCGGGTCGGGCGGGGGTGGGGGGCCCAACAAGGGTTGCGGCGCCGCGCTGGGGCGGGGCGGGGCCGCAGCCCGCGCGAGGCGGAAAGAGGCGGCGCAGCCCGTGGTCCCTGCAGAAGCGGGGACGCACGGACCGACGGGCGCACCGAGGCTCCCTGCCCTCGCTGCCTTACCCTGCCAGTCGCGCTCGCTGCCGCTGCCATGCCCTCCTACACGGTCACCGTGGCCACTGGCAGCCAGTGGTTCGCTGGCACCGACGACTACATCTACTTCACCCTGGTGGGCACCGCGGGCTGCAGCGAGAAGCATCTGCTGGACAAGCCCTTCTACAACGACTTCGAGCGCGGCGCGGTGAGGCGGGCGGCCAGGACCCAAGGGGGAGGCGCAAGGGGGCCTAGGAGCCCGGCGGGGCGGCGGGGACCCCGAGCCTCGGAGAGGCCCCTTCTGGACAGAGCGGTGCAGCGGCCGCAGTTCTTGTGCCCTGCTTCGTGTAGCCTCTTCCTTGGGCAGGTGGCACGTGGAGGAGGGGGGTAGCTCGGCTTCACCGAGCGGACGGTGTCCTTGCCCTGCTCGTGAAGCACAGGCGGAGGTGCCCTGTGAGCTGTGTGGGGAGCAAGAGGAACAGGCGGTCGAGAGGCCTGAGTTTCATCTGGGCATGATCACTAGCTCACTCTGTGCCCCCCTGGGTCTGAGTTTCCCCAGCTGTAAATGAAAGGATTAGCTTTAGGCTGGTCCACGAGTCAAGCTGAGCTTCCAGCGGTACTAGCGGATGTCCTCACACCTGGGAAGCTTAGAGTCTCAGGACAAAGCCCCACAGGTATTTAGGTATTTGGAAGGAACAAGAGAACCCAGACAAGGCCAGACCCTTTAAAAACCTGGGGGTTGTTACTTGCTCCCAGCAGAGTATATACCTGGGAACCCTCCCACCCAAGGTGAAAGAAGAGAAGGGAGGAAGAAGGGAGGACAGCATCCCTCCACAACACTTCAGTAGAGATCCAGTTAGCATCTAGCTGACCCAGACTCATGGTGACCCCATATGTGTCAGAGTAGAACCGTGATCCATAGGGTTTTCAATGGCTGGTTTTTCGGAAGCAGTGCCTCTGGGTGAACTCAAAGCACCCACCTTTCAGTTAGCAGCCGAGCACATTAACTGTCTGCAGCAGCCAGTGCCCAGCCCATAGGAAGCGCCCTGTAAATGATCACTGTCCTTTGCACGCTGCAATGTGCCTAGTACCAGACACCCTGCAGGGACTGTCAGTTCCCTTCCCCTAACCCCAGCCCCTGAACTGGACCAAAAAGATTCTGACTTTAGGAAGCTTTCTTGCCACTTTTTATTATTAGGTTGAACCGTATGAAATTGCTCCTATTTGACGATTTTTTCCATTAAAAAATTGGAAATTTAATATGGCTCAACCAAATACATCTTGTATAAAATTCATGATGTGTGTTTGAGGTCTGCAGATCCTAAGTTGAGTAAATAATAGTGCACCCCTTTTCGGGATTCCAAACTTAAGAAGCTTCAGGACCTTGCTGTAACCCACCCTGGCACTGATCCAAGTTCTGCATGGCATCAACCTGTCTTGAGCTATATTCAGGACTTGGGGGTTGAGTATAAGAACCAGCACCTCGCAACCAGCTTTCCCAGTCAGGGTGCTGGTGGTGCAGGGAGGTTAATAAGTCATTGATTTGGGGTTATGACACCCTCTGACATTTCTGAAAGCACCTTCATTTATTCCATTATTTCCTGGGTTCTCCTCCCAGCGCCTGTAGGAGGCGGACAGGGTGCAGATGACTTCCCGTTTATACCTGGGCGGCAGTGAGCCCGGCTCACCCACGGCTGGGCTCTGGACAGCAGAGGCCACATTGTGCCACGCTGTGCATCTTGGGCACTGCCAGTTACAGTGGTTTCTCTGTGGAGGAGACAGCGGGTGGCCCTACACGTGAAGGCCCTGCGTTGTTCATTGATTTCCCTCTCTCAGTCCATCTTCCCCGCCCTGGTAATTCATTCAAATGACAGTGGTGATTAAACACCTCACTGAGTGTCCCAGAGGCAACTGTTAGGAGACATTTGCATGTCACCGTTTCCATTCCGGTAAGAGAGCCGCAAGTCCGGAGGGCTGAGCACGGCAAGAGATCAGCTGGCTCCTACCCGCTCTTCGCAAAAGTCAGCTTTTGAGAAAGTTCCTGTTGATGCAAACTTACTCCACACTTGGTCTTACACAGCCCAGAGCCACTTCCTCATCCTCCAGCCAGCCTCTCTGTAGGGCCTGGCCGTCCCATTTGGGTAAAGGTGAAAGCTAAACCTTAGAGAAAACGTTTGCTGAGAAGAAAGTCTATCCTGTTTCACTTAGAGAAGTGTATAGCAGTTGTTGTCATTCAACAATAGGAAGTAACAAAACCAATTCAGCTTCTTCTGTGGAACTGGCAGGTCACCACACCTCCCCCACCCCATCCCTATGCACAATTCAGTCAAATAACGGCCATGATGGAGTTTTTCTCAATAAATTGAGTGAAGAATCCCTAACTATTCTCATCAGAGTTCTGCATAGTGATTCAGTACGGGGCTGGGATCGGAGTCCTTATGAGCGAGACTCTCGTGAAAGCAGTCAAACGTTGATTAGCTCCTCCATGTACTGGGGAAAGCCCAGACTGTGGGCCCAAGGGACCCATTCCTGAAGGCTACCCCAAGTTAGGCGAATTTGATGAGTTGATTTGTTCCTTTATCTCTGCAAATTTAAAGTAATTCAAGTCAGATGGGATGACTTTAACAGATTTCTGGGAAAGTTTAGTTGGCTCATTTTCATTTCATGATAGCACTTTCAGGAATACCGAAGGCAAGAAGGTGATGTTTTATACATTATCCTTGAGTATATTCAGTAAACGTCAACAAAGTCATAACTATATAAAACCAAAAAAAAATCAAACCTGTTGCCATCGAGGTGATTCTGACTCATAGCAACCCTATAAGGCAGAGTAGAACTGCCCCATTGTGTTTCCAAGGAGCGCCTGGTGGATTTGAACTGCCGACCTTTTGGTTAGCAGCCAAGCTCTTAACCAGTGACGCTTCTTAAATATATTTAGAGATGAATATATTCATGACAAATACGTTCTAGAACACCTCCTTTTTCAGGAATAAGAATATATTAATGAAGAATAAATATTTCCTTCTTAGGACCCTCAATCCTTGTGTTCCTCCAGTTTTCCCTGTCTGTCCCATCTCTTCCCTACCTTCTACCCTCTTCTTCCTCCCTCTTGTCCTTCCTCCACCCGCTATTCCCCAGGGTCCCCCAATGTCCTTCATTTCTACTCTCTGACACATAAATCTCCCATCTTTTCTGCTCTGACTTCTCCCTTCCATTCTGTCTTCCAGTCTCCCCCAGCTCCCTCTTCTCTGCTCCCTCAGTCCCTGGCTCTCTGTCCCACATTTCGCTCTTCTCTCTCCCTCCCTGCCAGCCCCTCACTGCCCCCTCTGCTCTGTCTTTACTCCAGCAGAGCCCCTTCTCCCTGTCCAGCAGCAGCAGGGATCTAGGGCTGAGACAGATGGAACCTTTCTTAAAATTCTGATATGAAGACTAAATGAAAACTGATCAACTAATACTTCGCTGAAATATTCAAAAGCTTTGAAATCGTATGTCCAATAAGTAGTTGAAAGCAACAAGTAAAATCAGCCAACCAACCCTTCAGTGAATGGAAGATAGTGAATTGGCCTGTTTCCCTCACTCTGTCCCTGTTTCCAGCATCAGGACCACTGCACCCACCAGCACCACCCCTAGGAACTCTGTGCTCAGCCTCCCTCCTCCCAGGCGAATGCCCCACCTAGGGGATTTTATTCTTATAGCTCACCATCTGAAATGGGGCTCCCCCTCCTCTCCATTCACCACACCACAGGAACCTTACTAACTCCCAAGAGCTGCCTCAGATACCACTCTTTCATGAAATTAGTCCATGTCCTTCCCCCTCGGTCCATGAGGCCTCTTCCTACTGCAGCCTTCTGGCCCAGCCCCAGGCATTTCCCCTGTGTCATTGGCAGTCAGACAGGCATGGGTGCTAATCCCAGTGCCACCATGGTAGCTACTCTGCCTCGCTGAGCGTCAGTTTCCACCTGTACAATGAGGTCATCATCCACTTGGACTATTTGTTGAGGGCCTGTTATGGGCCATTCACTGCTTACAGAGCCTCCAATACAGAATGGTTGTCAGAGTTCAGCAAGTTGTGATGGACAGAAAGAGAAGAGCAGGCCGGCAGACCCAGCACACAAAGAAGAGGGAAGCTGTAACACCTTGTAGCTCTTGGGCCTTCCTGAGACCGTATCCTGCTGTTTGGCCCACGTGACCCTGATGTCTACCTGGAGGCCTTTCTTTGTCCTCTGTGACTCTTCCCAGAGTTGTTTCCTTGGATGCTAGAGCTACAGCCATGAGACTTTGTCCCGAAAACACCCTCAGTGGGTCCGGGCTGGACTCCCCAGTCCCTCGTTCATCTGTAGCCACTGCAGGCCTGGAGCCAGAGCCAGCAAAGCCCCTGGGCTGACAGAGACAAGGCCAGACTGGCAGGCCTTCGCATGCCCCATAGAAGACCCCATCAGCTGGCATGCTGAGTCTCTGTATGTTTGTCCAGTGAGTTCATCCCAGTTGAGACTCTAGGATCTCTGCCAGCTTCTGCAGGGGTGAGTGGGCAGGAGGAAGGGGCATCTGGAGGGCCCATTCTTCTGTGACTTTACTACAGGTGTGCCAAAGGGTGTACTTGCTATCCTCTCCCTCAGAGAAGTGCTCCTGTCTCCTCCTTGGGGACACCACCCCCAGCTGGACATCTGGCCTTCCCTCTGAGAATCGCCTCAGGCCTGCAGAGCTTCCATTAGCCCCGTCCACTTCCTTTTTAGTCCATGTTCTTGCTTCTCCATCCCCTAGGAATGTCCACCTCAGAGCCTCGGGATACTTGAGACTAGAACAGTCATCCTCTCCCCCAACCCAACCTTCCTGGCATCGACGCCCCCTCCCACCCCTCTGAGCCACAGGAAAGCCACTTCCTCCAGAGCAGTCACCCTCGTGCCCAGCCCCGGGCCTCCAGGCGCTGACTTCTCTTTGCCCCACTTGTGCCAATGCCGAAAATGCCTCCCGTTCTCCCTCTGTTGCACCAAAGTTCAGTGTTGTCCTCCTGCTGTTCAGTCTGGTGTGTGGCATCAGGGACAAGCCTTGGGCACAAGCCCATGCTGGTTCCCAGCCAGGCTGCTTCCCCGGGACCCCTCCTAAATACAGGAGAGAGGTGGGGGTCGCAGGAAACACAGCCAGCCAGTAACCTGTGCCTTGGAGAAAGGAACCTGGTCAAGTTCTAACTTTCACAAGACCTCCTTAGGCATTACCTCACTCAGGTTTCTCAGTGGTCTCACAGGTCAGGTGTGGTCTCTGGAGAGAGGAAGAAGCAGAGCCTAGGAGCCAAGCAATTCACTGAGGCCCCATAGCCGGCCCCTCTGGAGCTGGAATGTGCATTCAGAGCCCTCACCTGCCCCGCCAAGCTGTCCACCTCCTCCTCTCTCTGCCCCACTTGAGTAGGATCTCCATCTTGGCCCCATGGGGAGCTGCTGAGGCCTCTGAAGATCCAAGTGTCGGGGCCCAGAGAGTCCTGGGCCACCTGCTCCCCACTCTGTCCCTTCGGATGGGCCCCGACCCCCTGGACAAGGACTGCTGGGCCACTTGTCCAGAGAACCTGCCTGCCTTGTCCTTGGCCCCAATGACACCTCAGCCCAGGGGTCACCCTTTTCCTCCTACCCATAAGAAATCTGTCCTGCCTTGCCTCCCCTCCTCCCAACCCCTCTGGCCATTGGCCTCCCTCTCCAGCTTCTCACTGGGGCTCCTCTCTTCAGCAGCCTTTCTTTCCCCAACTCTGCACCCCAGCCCAGGCCTGCTGGCATCTTCTTGGTGTTGCCACAGGCTCACCCCCGTGGTACAGACATTGCCCCCCACCCAGGACCCAGGGCCCAGTGCTGTCCTAGTGGCCGTCTTGCAGCCCCCACTCCTCCTGCTGGGCACACTGGGGTAGGGGAGCTCTTTCCCTGCAGCAGCCGGGAGACAGAGGCGGGCAGGGCAGGCATGCCAGGTGAGAAGATGCACATGTGCACGTGGTAGGAACTGGGCAGATGCCATCCCAGCTCACTCGCCTGGGAAGCTGCTCTGAGCCGAGGCCCCGGGGACCACAGGGCCCAGGAGGAAGCTTCCTCTTTCTGTCCACAAGTGTCTGGCCTCTGTGGAAGCCACAGCATGCAAGTTGCTCACTGTGTTCAGAGCTGAGGGTTTGCTGAAAATAGGGGGCTCCTGGCTGCCCAAAGGTAAAGGGTGGAAATAGGGAAGGGGTGCATGGGACCACGTGAAGGAAGGTACCCCTGCCCTGTCCCATGTACTTCATGTTCAGAACTCTGGGTTCTGCTGCCAAAGAAGTTCAAGGATTGGTGACATGTGGTTTAGAAAGGCCCTGGAGCACCTGCTGGTCAGTGAACCGTCCCGTCCTGGAGCACCCGCTGGTCAGTGAACTGCCCGATGTGATGCTGGAGTCCCTTATCCTTCCTCCCCATCCTG